TTACATATAACAAAAATTTATACTTTATGCAGCCACAATGATTACGAAGTTTTTTGGCTATAACAATTTAAAAAATTAGCAGATAAAATGTCCGGTCGAGTTTTATTGCTAGCGTTAATTTAGGCAAACGAGGTCCTGTTAGCGCGAAAGAAATAAAAAAAACCCGCGATACAAACAATGGGCCCGCGTCGCATTAACATTTTGATTGTTACCAAACACACGGGCCGCTGGAGCGGTGGTTTTGAAACGAGGCTCTAATGAATATTTTCGTGTTTAGAACCGTTCGGTAGGTACAGTCGCGGTCCGCTGACCACGCTGTGGGATGCAATTGCGCCGTGGAAATTTGCATTCGCCTTCGGCGGAACTTCGGCGATTAATTCAATAATAAAACTGTCGTTACACGACCGACGGTGGGGTGATGAGTTTTTGTTTTCTCTCTTTTTTGTAGTTTTATATAAAACCTGTTTTAAATTTCGAGTAATTATTCAATTTGCTTAGCGGAATTAATGCAAATAAGAAACACAGACAAGTCTAGTTCGGCTTGCTATTTCTGATACAGGCCGGATATTTACGAAGCATTTAAACGTTTCGGGTGGAATCACCGTTCGATGTTTTAAATGTGATTTTTAATTTTGTTGCTTTATTCTTAACAAAAGAATTTAATACCGTCGTATGAATAGTTTGAAATGGTTCTTATTTTTGGCCAGCTTTCCTTTTTCGAAAATATTGAGTATTTTATTCTTCAACAACGTAATTTTATACTATTTTACTTAATTTGAGTATCTATCTATATCATTTATTATAAAATTTCTATGAGGGTAATGCTGTCGATATTAAAAGTACGAGGGGTCTTCGCTTTATGAGAGCTTTGATTTTCTGTAAATTATATCTGATAAATTTAAACCTTAGATTTAATCAGAAAACTCTCATTCAAGTCAAGTATAGGTACAGCGGCAATTGCATGTCATCCGAAGTACTTTTTTCCGACGACAAATAGATGATTTCGTTACATACCTAATATTGTTAACATAATTTCCGGGTGTTTGTTACAAAATCTGTTATTTTTAAATGTCTTAAGGCATAAAATAACTGTACACATCGATGCGCTGGAGCAGTTCAGCCATCTTTATCCACATCAACTTGTGCTGATGGAATTAAAAACGCGGCAGCTTAATTGCGCGGGGCCCGATGCAACCGTGTACCGCGTCGCTCGTCACACGTAATTATCTGAATGTATGCTAATAACAAATGCAAATATGGCCGCTCGGCCGGCACCGCGGGTTGCGGTGTGAAAAATGGCTTCATTCCTTCATGCCGCCCTGGTAACTGTTTCATTTCGGCTGCAGATATTATGGAAGTTATTGGCTCCCGATTTTTAATGATGGCTTCTGCTCGAGTACCCTCCCACTTCAACATAAGAGGCGATGTGACCTCAAACGTATGATGTAACCTGAAGAGTATGTGTACTATTGTCTAGAAGACTGACGGGAATACCGACGCCCAGAGATTGTTCCACGCCCTTATTAAGGAGGAAACAAACTTCATTCAAATTCGGAGAATGTCGACAGCAAATGGCTTGAGGTCAGCAGATTACTTGTTTTTCGATTATGTCAACAAACTTACAAGTCAATCAGAGGCCAACATATCACGTCTCGACCAATTGGCCGCCTTTGTTTCAATTGGCGTAAAAGTAACAACCAATATATGTCCAAATGCAGTGTAAAGAGCTCCTCTGAACAAGTATTAGGGCATAGTTAACCATGGTGCCCCTAGTGCGCATTGGCGGACCTCATCTTCGAAATATTTCTTTCTGTTATTATTTCGAAAATATGCAAGTTTTCTCAAGATGTTTTCCTTCAACGCTGAGCAGTGACAAGACAGCACTAAAAATTAATAATATGATTGGTGCCGGCACCGGCCGTTGAACACAGGCTGCTCAAGTATATTGAATGAACATCGACCGTCCGGACAATGAGCTATCACGGATTTTTGCATACAGACGCGTAATTAAGGCGCAACAGCAGTTTCGAGAGAAAGAGAGAATTAGTTTTGAGCAATAATTTAATGGCCCGTATGCAAAACGGCCGCACCGTCACGCGCCGGTGCGCCGATGTGCTGAGAGAGCGTTACGCTACACGGGACCGAATTAGTCCTCAATTTGAATTGCATTAGACCGGCGCACAGCGTCCCGCGTGGCCCATCGACAGTCGAGAGGCCTTTACACGTTCCGACCGCGTCAGCGGAACCGTCGCGTGTATTCGACGCGGGCCCGTTTTCCCCACGCGCCGGGGGGCGTGTGAAAACCTCCGCGCCCGCCGACTCGAGTGCTCCACAGACTCTCGAATAATAAAAACCGCCCACTCCGCAACGTAAATACGCCAGATGGGGATCTTTTATCGCGGTCACGTAGCGACGCAGCGTCACGAGCGCGTCACTGCGGGCTGTAAAGAGCCCGCCGCATTCTAATTTCGAACGGACGCCGGTGAATTCGCGCTTATCCCGCGGCGGCCCCGCGGCCTTATCTGCGGCCGGGCACTAAATCATATCTTTATGCCGCCGTCGAACTCACGTCCGTCACATAGATCCGTCGATAGACCACGCTTGCGGAGAATAAGAACATAGAGAGAGAAAACCCGCGGCGTGGCCGAATTAACGGCTCCGTACGATTGCGCCGGCCCAAACGACGCCGCGGCAATTAATCAGAGACTATTCGGTTTAATAATACGCACGATTCCCTATCTATGTGGTCGGCAGTAAATCTCGCGGGCAACGGCGAGCCCCTGCCTCCGCCACTTTCACAATCGCCATCGATAGAGACGTAACAATCGAACGGAAACCCTGTCGAGGCGAGGACAGCGGCGTAAAGCTCCGAGCCGCGTGTAATATCCCATCAGCTCGCTTAATAGTCGTTATTGTTGTTTATTTATTAGAAATATCGGAACAAATTACAGGCTTTATCCGGCCAACAAAAAGTAAAGGGTTAGACCAAAAAGTGAGTCGTCCGCCCGATCGCAATAAGTTTTCGATAGGGTCCGGGCGATTTAATTGCCGGTTGTGATCTGGTTTTACGTAAAAAAAAAGATGAATGGCCCAATGCTCGGGGCAAGAGGGACGCTTTGTGTTCGTTTAAGATAAACTTTTTTCTATAACGCACACGAGCACTTTCACCTTCCACGTTGTATCTCTTATTATTTATTCAGCGAACGCGGCACCTAGCTGGGGACTTGGTAAATCAGATCTAGGTCCATATTGTTACGTTCCATATACCTAACCATACGTGTGTATCTTTGAGGCATTAAACTCGTTTCGTAACAGCGAATCTATAATACTTAGAACACAAACTTACTGAATTTAAATTTCCCCACGAAAGACATTCAACGTTTTGGTCAGATTTTATGGTCGTTTTAACAGTAAGATCGGAATTTTAACAACAATTTTAACACGATTTGAGTCCAGTGTATGACATTCACAAATCACGAAATTCGCCGATAATGTATGTCATTGACATTATGGTTACTAAAATTTTTGCCGAGTCAATATTTTAATTGTTCTTGGAATATTAGGAGGCTCAAGTGCGCAATTTTAACTTACAAGATTTAAATTCTCCATGTTACTGTAGGGATGACTTAGTGGTGCCATTGCTGGAACATTGTTAACATTTAGACGCGGAAAGATGTGTAGTTACGTCTTTCTTCATTGACGACACAAAGTGGATGCGGAGGTGTAACGAAAATGAGCTCCCAAATTCGATCTCGGTAAATCATCGCTCCGTAATCGAGTTCGGGGAGAGTTTGTGGGCGGCGCACGCGCATCCCATATGCGCGCATCCTCTCCGTAACAACGCGAGCTTGTGAAATCGCCCGTTCCGAGTGGAAAAAACGCGTCGATATTGGAAACAAAACCGCAAAGTTTCCCGGAGGGCCGCTCATCTTGGGGTCCGTTTAACTTTACGATGTTGTGCATGCTTTAATCGAGATTCCCGTATAGCATGAGTAGTTGAACAACGTTCGTCAGTTGTTTGTATGTAATTTTGCGTTATTCCTTTGTTCTTTCGGATAGCTTGTTTAATTTCTTTAGTTTCCTAAAGTAATGTAAGACCATTTACGGATGAGATGTTATGGCTTGCGTTGAAAATTGTCTGAGACGTACCTACCAACGTACATCGGTATATAATTACACATAGCGAGAATTAGCATGCAGGCAATACTTTGCTTTATGGCTCCTTTCTGCTCTGTTTCCCCGGTTAGACGCTCTCGTACATTTTTGCAACTGGCATTGTTTTATAACCGACCGCTTTTGTTGTTGCCCGCTACGAAAATAACAACACGAGTATTTAATAATTAATAATTTCACGCTAGCGAAGACCGATTTTCACATAATACTTTTTAATAATGGAAACTTTTGAATCTACTTTAAAACCTACAAATGTTTGAAATGTTTCAATTTTTCAAAATAAATCTTACTTAAAGATTCGTAATTCCTTTTTTACAAATAATAATCACAATTGAAGGGTTGTTGGCATGCATTAAATAGAGGGGATATTAGTCACTTTATCTCATCCTTTTCCTTTGCGTGTAAAAATCTAGATATTAGTTCTACCGGTGAAACTTCGTGCGCTTTCCTTTGTGAATGTTATTGTTTTATATTGCTTTGAAATGAACACGTATGGTTTTACGATCAGAGTAATGACTAACTTTATGTGTTTACCGTTTGTGCATGCTAGACTAGTTAGTGATAATCGATTTGTAATGTTTCTGAATGTGGTTTTCTCTCGTCTTCCGCAGCCTGCCAGGAGACAGGTAAATCACCCAGAAAACGTTAAAACAGTAACTTTATTTTGAGTTCTCCTGTGCATTCCCTTAATTTCATTGCTTCATTTTTGTTTTGAAATAATATTCGCCCGTTTCGGTTCTTTTTAACCGAGTCCAATGTTATCAAATCGATCGCACTTTTTGCCATACAGTCTGCATGGAAGTTTTACCGTTTCTCGTATGACGCAGAGGGGCGGGAGTGCGTGAACTGCGGGGCGACCAGCACACCGCTATGGCGGCGCGACGGCACCGGCCACTACCTCTGCAACGCGTGCGGCCTCTACTACAAGATGAACGGACAGAACAGGCCGCTGATAAAGCCAAAGCGAAGATTGGTGAGTGTAAGAATCCGACCAATTTGTTATATTCGTAAAGGCGGTGGGAGTACGGGCGTCATTGGAGAAACGGTCACATAGTAAAGTCATCCAGGCTTTGGTTGGTACACGAATAAGCTAAAATTACTGGCAAAAGACTGTAGCGGAACTGTACGATTTTCGTTACGGAGGCTCTTTGAAGGCATCTTAAAGGACGGAAAAGTCTAGTGTTGTCTCCACAGACCTTTAAAAACGTCAGTCTCGACGCGTTCGCGCTGTTTTCTAAAAGTTCCCTTGCCACAACGGACACGCTCACGCAACCTACGCCGTCACAATCGTCTAACGTCGCTTTGCAGCTGAACGCCAAGTGAACGTCATACACCCTCCCTTAAATATGTTTTGCGATTTTATGTCTATTTACATTAGCCTATCGAATGTTTCTGCATGTAAGGGCGGGTGCACAGCGAGGCTAATTTGCACAGCGTTACCGCACTATCTTGCAACGTCGCCCTGAAACCGAGCCTTTATTGGCAGTGGTAGACGGTGAATTTCGTAGAAGCTTACCTACTAGACAGTGTGTCTTCCGCCTAACGCTTTATCTAAGGTCGGCGGTCCGAGACAATGCGTTAGCCGCGGCGAGCGCCGCTCTAACGACTGGCCCGTGCGCGTAATAGTACAATTTACTACAATAGACATAAACCAGCCAAATGGCCCGACATTCGCCTCGCATTCGCTGTTACGTAATACGACAGCAAAATATGAAAATGCTTTCGTATATCATAATAAAATGCGGCGATAGGAAGTCAAATCGATAGTTTCGCGGTAATGTGCGCGAAATGATGCTCGTTCTTATGGCTTAGTTATTTAAATATCTCAGACATTTCGATGTATTCGACACATTCCCAAGGATTTATTTGTTAAGTTTACAATTATAGTTGTGAATTTTATACTTTGCAATATGGATGTGATTTCTTCTTAACAGGACAATAGATATGTAGAGGACCTTGCGCGAGTCCCTGTTTTCTAAATTTATAACGACAGATCATCATTGTCTTTAATCTCAGTGGTTGCAGGTCTAGATTATTCATTTTTTGTATACCCAACATTGGTCGATGAATAAATAATATAAAGCTGGTGAATCGCTTTGTGCGGAGCACAGAATGAAGAGGTAGAAGGTATTTGACAATATCCTTGGTCTAAGTCACCACGGAGGTTTCCGCAAAGACCTTTCCAGAAGTATAACTACTAAGTCTATGGTACAAAGCTTTCTTAAGTTATCGCAGGCGCGTTCATGTCGCGGCTAATTAAGTGTAGTCATGGTTTTTAAGCTCGTACGTGCGCCCAGCCGCGCACTTTTAATATTGAAAGCCAGTGTACTGTGGCCAACCGTTAGTCTCGGATAAGATTGAATCTTCACTCTTATTTTCAATGTGGGAAACACGAGACAATGACCGTCTCGCCACAGCACTGATTGATGTGTTATTTATCTATCTCACATTTGAATCGCACCTGTGCCAGCCGGAGATTTAATCAAACCGTTCTCCTAATTAACTGTACCCGCTGCTATTCCGCTTTCTTGTATTTTCTTGTAACCGCTGGATAGTTTAATAATGCGACAGCGCGGGAGATTTTTTTTTGTTGGTGTCGTGTACTTTGCTGTTATTCCGGCGGCTTTGAAACTTGCGGAAGAGATCCACGGGCAGAGGACGAGCAGCACGAGTGAATATTTACCTGCTACAATCAGCAATATTATATAATATTATGTTTAGCATGCTTCCACGACCATACGTAAACTATAAAGAATAGTTAAGTTTGAAATTAATTAACAGAATGTCGGCAATAAGACATTTGCTTCGCATTGCATTATATAATAATGAGTAATAACATCTTATGTTATCATTACTGACTTTATTTCGCACACTCAGAGGCAGTAGAGTTTGGACAAAGCCGAATTTCTAGTGCCTCGTCGGATGTCTCGCTGTCAGTTGAATATGGGGGATTACTCCCAAATCTAAAAGCCATATTTCCTCCATTCATAACCTCTGTCATCTAGGCATGGGTACCGTTAAGTGAGTTTTAGTAAGGGTCTAAGGCGGTGAGTCTTAGAATTGTTATTGGTTGGATGGACAAATCGAGGATAAACAAATCTGGGAATGGAGGGCGGATTCATCCAAAACTTTGTATATCCCGTAGATCAATAAGAAATTAAATTTATTGTTGTTTAAGTAATAGAATATTATAATCAGTTAATGTTTATGCTGATAGATACTGTAACAATTTACATTGGTTCAGACAAATTTTTTACTGTGATTGAACAATTTTTGAATGTGGTCTCGCGGCAACTTCTACTATGAGGATATACTATGGCTCCATTGAAGAGCGGAATACTGCTACATTATTTTTTAATTTATTTATTTGCTTTTCGTCCAATGTCTTAGTCAGGCGGGGCCCAAAGCTGTAAGGGTTGGCACCTTAACAGCAACCCCATGGGTTTTAGGGACGTTAATCTACTGTAGGACGTAATCTTTAAAATCAATTTAATCGCACCTTCATTTAGAAAAAATTGTCAGACGTACCACATAATCATGTAAGCTTAATAAATCGTCAAGTATAATGTAATGTAACTTTATTAAAACTTAAAAATAGAACGGCCACTGTGAAAAGAACATTACGAAACTTCGTCTGAATCCAATTACATAGGTGAACAGATTGAAACGCTAAAACAAAGAAATGAAGAATTAATTCCAACTCCCCGTCCACGGTTATTACGCTAAACTAATTACGCGATTGCACTTGACACGAAAAAAGCGCATAAAAGTGGGAATCTTTCGACAATACGATTTGGGCGTCTCGCTCAGTTTTGGCCGCGATGAAACTTTAAACGGCTTATAATGCACGGACAATGGGTTAGAATTGTTACTCTAATGAGGCGCGTGAGTTTGTCTGTCCGTTTAGTGCGCTGAAACGACGAAAACGTATGAATGTAAATGCGGCAATAACTCCGGCGTTGAGTAGCAAACATTGTGCGATAAAGTACGCTTTGCCACCGACTGGTTTACGTTGCAGATGGCACGGCGATAAGGTTTTTATAGCGCGAGAGCTTTGCATGATATGATTTTTTTTAATACGAGCATTAGCAGGGACCCGATCGTAAACCGCGTGCCCTGTTAGCGCAATTATCGTAACCGATGTACTGAGGAGCTTCGCGATTATTGCGTTTCGGGCTACTGCAACTTTTTATTAGAACTCGTTTGTTTTTAGGGTTCCGTACCCAAAGGGTAAAACGGGACCCTATTACTAAGACTTCGCTATCTCTCTGTCAGTCTCTCTGTCTGTCACCAAGCTGTATCTCATGAAGCGTGATAGTTAGATACTTGAAATTTTCACATATTTTCTGTTGCCGCTATAACAAAATAAAAAACAAAAAACAGAATAAAAAATATTTAAGTGGGGCTCCCATACAACAGACATGATTTTTTTGCCGTTCTTATAGATAATGGTACGGAACCCCTCGCGCGTGAAACCTATTCGCACTTGACCGGTTGTTTCCCGCCGATTCGATTTGCATAAGAGTCGTGAAGATGCCTGCAAAAAGTCGATTTCAATGTCGGCTCCTTGTAGTTCCTTCATGCGATATTTTTTTCTAGTTCGCTTCATTGATTGCTGAACAGCGTGTAAATCAACATAATTGAACGGTTTTGGAATTACTTCGAGGGAGGACTTGAAAACATTGATTGATAGCTAATTCATTGTTATATTTCCAGTTAATATCATTATTATACCCTAAAAATGATTGAATGATAATTATTTAATTATAATAATTAAATAGTTTTGGAATTAATTCGAGGCGGCACTTAAAAATATAGATTAGAGGTTGATTCATTGTGATTCTCCAGTTCATATCATTATTTAATACTAAAAATTAACTTTTTTATAAAACGTTACTTATGTAAGTTAAGGCACTATAATATTGTTTAGGTATATTCTCTGTAGCAGCAAAAAAGTGTTAACAACTTCCAAATTATTGATCAAATCATTCGATACGTATTCAAAATGTTAGTACCAATAATATTAAATCCTCTGTGTCGTCAGTCAAAAAACAAAATTACTGCGTTTGTTTGAAATTCAAAAGAGCGAAAAGGCCAAACAGGCTTAATATATTCCTTTTGATATAACGAAAACAAAAATATGCGGGCATCATGTTACGAGTACTCCCGTGCGAGAATTTTATAAAAAGTACATTGGGAACGTCAAACTTTATTCAGAAAACGTCAGTAATATAAGGTGATATGTTTACTAAGGTAGACTCGACTACTAAGGTACTTGTTAGGATCAGTAGTGAATAACTTCTTTACAATTTCTTCTACAGTTGCGACCTAGTTCGTTTTTATTTTTATTTCGTTGGTTCGTTTTATTTTTAATCCATATAAAGTTTCATATAAAAGAAAATTGTGTTGTTTTCCGAATCCATAATAATGTTCACTAATTTAGACACATTCAAAGCAGGATCGGAAAGAAACAGTGGTCAAATATGCATTTTTTTACAAACCATCATACAATAAACAACTACTGAGAAGTCTACTATTATTAACCAAAATCAAATCAATTATTCTCGACGTAATTAAATTGGCAACCCTATAGCGCTTTGTAGAATCGAACTCACGGGTGATTTTCTATTGTCGGCTGCTGGTGATGTTCGAGATGGAAGTGTGCCCGCCGCCTTATCGGGGTCGCAATAAAATTGTGCAGAAGTGTACGCCATAAAGAGCGCTATGCGTTACGACCGATACGCGGCAATATATCTGCGGTGCGTTCGCGCTCGCGCGGGTGCCCGGCAAGACGGACGCGCATGCGTGGCGTCCTTTATTTGCTTACACGTAATTCCGATGCGTTATTTCTCGGACGAGCGAGTGTCCCGATCATTTTTTATTCGAGCCCTTGCTACATTTGGCGGACGCTTTCGCTTTCGGCTCGAAGGACTGGGCAAAGACGGGAAACGCGCGATTCCCCGCGCTTTTTTAAACCCTTTGTTGTGTAAACGTATTTCTTTGTGTGATGTTTTGAAGTGTGAAGCTGTGAATTTGCACCTGAACCGACGATCGTACTTTTAATCATCGGTGCATCAACGCATCTATAAATATATCTTCATTATCTATTCATTACTAAAATGAATAGATAATGAATATATATACATGTATTTTAATAAAAATTTTGCCATAGCTGTATCGTGTATTTCTGGACGCAATATATTGAAAACATTTCTGAACGCGAAATGATCAATTTCATTCGCACCAAAAACAAATGTGGATATGTCTACAGTTCAGGTGTTCCTGCAGCGTTCTAGAATAATCGCCGGTGTCTCGTTAAG